GAGGATTTAAAAGCCACTGCTCTCGATCATCAAGAGTGGCTCGATTAGCAAGTGTGTAGGTGAGAGTCCATTCCAACCCCATCGCTTGCAAACGCCACATCCCATCAGCCGTCAGATACTTTAATACCCTCTTGGCCTTCATTCCAATTTTTTTTCGTGGTCTGCTGCACACGACTCTCGCATCATCACCACAACGCCCATCCCCCGGCGGCACACCACCACCGCCACCCTCGAGAAAAGTGAACTCAGCTTTCTCTCTCCCATTTACTCCTCACCTCGCTGGGCGGAGAAATACCTTGCATGCGAAAGCTTGTATCAGCGGAGAGAAGAGATGGGGGCGCGGTGGTGGTGGCGGGGGGGGGGGGTGCCTGGTGGGGAAGTTATGCTGATGCAGCCCGGGGTGAACATGTCATTATCTCTTTTCACCAAGCGTAAAAGGCAAGAATTACGGTTTAAGCTCTCACTTCCATTCTTTCATTCCGGTTACCTTCCGTGCCAAGGAACGCCCTAGGCCTTCAATCCTTCATGGTATTCGCATCACACGCTAAGGGAAGTGGAATCCAACCTTTTTTTTATTTTGATCATTGGCATTGCTCGGGTCATGTTTATAGCCACATCCTGTTTATTTCGCACCAAAACACAAGGTTAAAAGTGATCCACTTCAGGCCTGATAATTTTCACGCAGTGATAACGTCAACAAAGCACCTTTTTCACAATGGACGTGTAAACACTTCAGTAACACGGCTCTTCTTAAAAAAGTTCTTTCAAAAAGTGTGATGATGACGATAAGAATAGGGTTTACAGAGCCAACCGCGCTAATCGGAGGTGCTGTGCATTCATTGGTGCTCTGTTTTCCCTCAACTCGAAACTTGTCAGCAAGAAAGCACCAGAGTGCTGAGGACTTAAAGGGCAACTGCGCTCGATCATCAAGAGTGGCTCGCTCAGCAAGTGTGTCGGTGAAGGTCCATTCCACCGCCTCCTTGCGAACAAGCCACAACAAGAGGTGTTAAGATGTTCAACCGCCTGTTTCATTGCCAGAAAGGGTGAAAACCTATTCTTACACTTTGATACTGGCAAGAAAGGTCCCATGGTGTAGCTGCTCACGTGTGATGAGTGTTAAAAACAATAGTCTGCCTATACAGGTACTCACTTTGTAGTTGGATAAATGGTTTGGACAGTGCTGTCTTATGAATTAAGCATCACAAAATCTTTATCTCTGACTATGAACCTGTAATAGCAGTGATGTGAATGTCCACATTTCTATGCTAAGGACCAGTCTACCCCTAGGACATTAACTCCCGTTTTTAATGTATTGACCGTAACTGAATGATGGGCTGAGTCGACTGCCAACCAGAATTTGAACTCACAAGTCGCTGATTGTAGATAGAGTATTCTGCCACAGCATCAACTACATGGATATATATGTATGTAATAAATAAACAAATATATATGCAAATATATAAATTATAATTGACAGCCGTTTGTAAATAAAATTAAGTTCACGGCTATTTGACCATACTTTCCCACCCTTATCAGTGCCGGTTGGTGAAGGGACTTAGTGCCCGTTCTGGATATCACTGACCACTGATGTTAGCCGTGACTGAGCATTGAATCAGGTTCATGTAACAATGCGCAAAACAGCAGAACCACTATTCCCCCATGTACAAATACATAGTGTACAAATATATATTTTATACAATGGAGCTTTTTTTTATTGTAAACTACAATCAGTCCATTTCCGTATGTATCCCACACCAGGGAATACATTTTGGAAATGAGGCATAACTCAGTGTGACCACAACAAACACGACAATACTTGGGTCCATGTAAAACTGATATTGGTGACAAAAACGTTGTGAATCAAAATTAATGCGAATGTAAACGTTTCATGGACCGAGCAATGAATTTGATTTGGATAACATCACCAAAAATAATAGTTTTAAATGGGCCATTTATGTACACCGTGGATCCTGTGAATTCAACTGCACAATATAATGAACTCTTCTTGCGTGATGTTATTTGCGAGATTAAAAAAAGGAACTGAATTGCTGGGCTTCATCGCTACAGTGTCTGAGGGAGCAGCTCAGTTTCTGTGTATGTACACCATCGCACCTAAGAGGGGATTGATGTTTTTATTTTATTTTATATTTCGCAACATCATGACAAAAATAATCACAAATTGTCTCTTCTTTGTGGATTTTTTTTTTTAATGCAGCATTATCCTACACTAGCCTTTTGTCCGTCCCTAGGACGGAAGCTGTAATATTTACGAAAAAAATCTAGCAGAGTACAAATTGTGACGCTTGTGTAAATTTAATGGCAGTGAATCTTGCACGAAACTACGGTCATCAAACACTACGATGAATTTCACTGTAGCACTGCATTTGAAGCGACTTTGCGAAAAAAATCTTTCCACCCGACCTTTCGCGTGAGTGTAAAAAAAAACCCGCTCATGATTATTTTATTATCAATTACGGGGGGGGTGGTTGGTGGTGCGGCACGTGGAGTGACGTCACGCGCGTTACACACATTTCTGGGTTATTGTAGTGGTAATGTATGACCGACAGAAGAACGGGGGTGGGGGGGGGGAAAAATCTAGTTAACTGTTAAAAGCACGGGGTCAGCAAATCGTGAACCCTGGCAGCCTGACCTTATATGCAGAGAAGCCACTGGATCCGGCAGCGCGAAAGCAAATCTCCTGACACGATGTCAAAATATTACACTCTTGTGCTGGAGACCACACGCACGCTGACCCCATTTACGCTTTTGGTGGCGGTGACATTTTGATGGTCTTCACGGCGCGTTTGTTTCCACATGTGGCCGCGTGTGGCATCCACGCCGTCCTCAGTCATGGCAAGGTCGCGGCCCGGGCTGGTTTTATTGCGAGCCGCAGCAAATCTCTTTCGGAAGCCTGCAGCCGTGTTTTCATTTTTCAGCCGCGCTCAAATACCGTGACACTGTGCGGATGCAGCGCCGACAGTGCTTTTTGACACGCGCCAGGTCCTTCAGCAGTCACGTGTGGTTTTTAAACGTTTGTTTTGATTGAGTGTGAAACACAGTCAACGGGTTGAGTGATCTGCGATTGACAGTAGAATGGCTAAGGGGTGAATACACGGCAGAGCCGGTGAAGGATCGCGCGCCTCCTCTGAGCCGACGTGGTTCGAGGCAGCCGCTGGTCACTCGTCACAGCATACGCTTTGGACACGGCCGGTCTAATAACCACAAAAGGAGTGATTTAATTGCAGAAAAAAACTACAACTTAGTTGTTGTGTGGTCACCGGCAGCTTACCGCGGATAAAGTTACGAGTTTGCATTGACTTGTATTCATCATCGGGGCTGCGAACTCGCACGCGTTTAACAGCTGCCTTATGATAAAGCAAACAGAGGAGGAGATGCGCTCTCATTGTGTATTGTGTTATTCGAGATGAATCGGCATTAAAATTGAGAGCGCACATCACTTGTGGCCAATGCAAATGCGGAGGCTTTTTTTAATCTGTTTTGCGGCACAGCTTTGACTTAACTAACTGTGCAGTTTGCGCGCAGTGGGTTTTAGTTACTGCTGCCCTTGTTAAGGGATAGGAAGGGCAAGCTGTGAACATCCTACAGGGCACCACTCCGCGACACACATTGCCTCGTTTCTGCTCTCTAATTATCCAATTCAATGTGAGCGATTATCCAAAATGGCACCAGCGTCTTCACGAGCGCTGTCTGAATACACTCACGTTCGGTCGTGATAGGCTGCCAAAATAAGAATCGTGAAAAAAGACACGTTACAAAAAAAGTTAATTAAAATTCCTTATTAGGGAAATCACTGTAACCACTCTCTTCCATTAACTGCTGGAGGCCTTCACCCTCTGGGTGCCGATTATTTCCTGGAGTTGAAGCAATTAATTGTCCAAAAGAACTGATTTTGTTTCGAAATAACTATTGTAGTTAATGGAGTTTTCAGCGTGAAGCACTAAAAAGTACACTGGCGGAACATTAGCTTGTTTGCCGCTGATGACAGTGATTGTGCTCATTGATGTATGAGTAATAGCCTCAAATTCCTACTGGATTGTTTACTCAATTAGCGGCAAATGTTTTTTTTATATCCAGTAACATGCAATTACAAGAGACCCACCGTGCAATAAATGTCAAACAGAAAATGGCTGTAATTTATTGAAATTATTCAATTGTAATCATAACTGTGTGACAGGACGCCGTGTTGGATTTGCCGCTCGCCATGGCAAGTGTCCGAAAACAGTGGAGGTGATGGTGACCAGGATAAAACGGCATACCAAGGGGAACTGATCTAGAACCAATCGCTTGTTGGTCCAGACTTGTACCTTGTGACCGCCACCGGTTTCAAACCCTGGCACAGTGTCTGTTTCTATCTTCATACCACCTGGATTCTATTTATCTCCATTTTATCCATCTTGGGATGTAATGGGTTGCTGATGGTGTGCTCCTTTGCCTGATTTCCGAGTGATTTCCGCAATGCTATCACTTGATGACTTTATGCGAGGCTGTCAAATACAAGCTTTTCATTAATTAATTCAATACTGACCAACTGCTATATTTGAAATGGTATAACAGGTCGCACGCCCATGCTCCAGACATAAACTTCTCTCATTATCGTTCAGTTGATCCTTTATCCATGGAGATCTCGTTGGGTCTCAAGGGTCTTCTTCAGGAACCTCCTGAAATGGGATTTTTCCCCCCAATTTTTCATCCTCTTAACTGGAATTCCTGAATAATGTGCATGCACACAGGCAGCCAACACTCAATCACACACACACAGGCGAGCAACCCACTCACTGTACTGCCATCTACAGGCCAGCTCATATTCCGGCAGGGTTATGTATCTCACACACGATGACCTCTCAGTGATCCACGAACCCCACCTCCAAAGCAGCGGGTTTGAGGTGTGCATCATCGCCACTTAAACTGTGCATTTCCGCGTTGTTTCAGAGTGGAGAACGTGACCCATGCTGCTGCCCAAGCCTCGTCGCGTCACGTACCGGTATGGCATGGTGCACCGCAGCATAGCTGTATCCGGCGTGTGGAGCCGGGTGGTAGTAGGGTGCCGGGTAGATCCGGGGGCTTCGAGCCAAGGCGAAGCGGCTCCAGCCGGGGGGCTCGGCCCCCCAGTGCGTGGCGAACGCAGGGCTCGTGGCTGCCGTCTGAGGTTTGCTGCCCCCGTACACTCGCATGTGGCCGCCCATCTGTAGGTGACAGCGAGTGGGGTGTCACATGCGCACAGCTCAGCTAGAGGTAACATACAGCACCCAGGGAATGTAGTAAAAAAAGCCTGCGAATGAGATACTGCACTACATGTTGGTACAATTTACAATCACTCAGCCCACTGTTCACCTGCTTATGAATGGAGGCCTCCCCAGGCCTTTCTAAGATGGAAGTTTTGTGACCATAATTCACCACACTGGTGAGTGCGAGTTGGTGAAATGGATGGCCAGGGTTGGCTCAGATACCATTCGCTACCGATGTTGGCCGTGCCCCGGATTCAAACTCAGGCCAATGGGTTGTTTGTAGCAGCACAGCGTGCTAACCACTGCACCATCGCTCCATCCATCCAAATGAGTATGAATAGACCTGTTAATATAATAAGTGTAACACAATTTTTGTTCCTGGATAGTGAGTATTATTTCCTAATTGCTTATGCCTAAAAAGTATAGAAAATGGCTATTATTCCCCACAAACTTTGCTTTTTTGACCAGGACATTGATATTTTGAAATTTACCTATTTTCAATTAGAAAATGGGCGAATTTGAGACTTTTCGTTCACATAAAGTCTCCCATTATATTCTCGTTATACTGTCCTTGGTAGCGGCGTTCAAGGTCCAGTATATCGTGGTGGAAGCGCTCGTCTTGCTCCTCCGAGTACGCTCCCATGTTCTCCTTGAATTTATCAAGATGAGCATCAAGGATATGGCGTTTGAGGGACATCCTTTTGCCCATTGTGCCGTAGTTCTTCACCAAAGTCTCAACCAGTTCCACATAGTTTTCGACCTTGTGATTGCCCAGGAAGCCACAAACCACTGCGACAAAGCAGTTCCAAGCCGCTTTCTACTTACTAGTGAGCTTCTTGGGGAATTCATTGCACTCCAGGATCTTCTTTATATGTGGTCCAACGAAGACACCGGCTTTGACCTTTGCCTCAGACAGCTTAGGGAAGAAGTATTGAAGGTGCCTGAAGGCTGCTGACTCCTTATCTACAGGTCTGACAAATTGTTTCATAAGGCTCAATTTGATGTGTAGTGGTAGCATCAGCACCTTCCTGGGGTCCACCAGTGGCTCCCACTTGACATTGTTCCTCCTCACAGAGAACTCGGTCAGCTGTGGCCAGTCCCGCCTGTGGTAGTGCGCCTTGGTGCCCCTGCTGTCCCAAAGGCAAAGATAGCAGGGAAACTTGGTAAAACCGCCTTGGAGACCCATCAGGAATGCCACCATTTTGTTGTCTCCGATGACCTCCCAGTCATACTCATAATACTTCAAGGCATCCAGCAAGGTCTTGATGCTGTTGTAATCCTCTTTGTGGTGCACTAAGTGAGCCAGGGGAAGAGACGGGTACTTGTTACCATTATGGAGCAGCACGGCGTTGAGGCTCCTGGATGAGCTGTCAATGAAGAGGCGCCACTCATTCTGGTTACAGGCGATTCCGATTGCCTCTAACAGACTGGTCACATTGTGGCAGAAGCAGAGCCAATCTTGATGGGTGAAGAAGCTGCAAAAAGGTTGATGATGCTTCCTCTGATCTGCGACTTGCACACTTTCATCCAACAAGTTCCACTGCTTGAGCCGAGACGTTAAAAGCTCGGCATTGCACTTGGTGAGACCAAGATCTCTGATCAAGTCGTTGAGGTATTTTTGGTTGGGGTAGTATGGGTTTCTCTCCTCAGCTCTCCACCTCTGAAATTGTCATCTGGATCTACAACATCTTCCTCGCTTTGTACAGAGTACTTTTTTGCTCTTGTCTTGATAAATTGGCCGCAGACATAGCAAAATGCATCTGCCGGATGCTTGCAGCCTCTTGATGCCATCTCAGAAAATGCAGATATGTATCCACTTAGGCAGCTGGAACTAAGCTGAACTGGTGGGCTTAAGGCCACTGTATTTATACTACTCTTCATATTACTGGAAAGTTCTAAAATGTTCTAGAAGTTACTCCAAGTTTAGTCAGCACTGAATCTATCTGGAATGTTCTGGAAAATAGGTCAATTTCAAAATATCATTGTCCTGGTCACAAAAGCAAAGGTTGTGGGGAATAATAGCCATGTTCTGTACTTTTGACGCATAAGCAATTAGGAAATAACACTTACTACCCAGGAACAAAAAAAGATCAAATTAATTGTTACACAATGTAATCTAATGCTAGTGGCTGTTATATTTAACAACTAAGTTACATGGATGCAGTTGCAAATGCGCTTAACCTTCCATTCTTTGAACTCTTTGTTTAATGGCAATAATTGCCAAGTCGTCAATTTCCAAGGAGGAGCGTTACCTGATCAAACAAAGGACGTCAAAACCACCAAGACTTTATAGGCTACCAAAGATTCACAAACCTGATGTCCCATTAAGACCCATAGTTAGTACAATAGGCTCTGCAACATACAAATTAGCACAATAAGTAATGAACCAAATACAGCCCTTCATCGGTAGGACCTCTTCATTCATTAAAAACACTGAACATCTCGTAAATATAATTCAATATATTAAGCTTAACTCTAATGATATTCTCGTAAGTTTTGATGTGATCTCTCTGTTCAGGAGGGTTCTGGTAACGAAAACAGGTTTAGCCAAATATATTTCAAGACTTGCTGACCACTGTCTAAAGAACACCTATTTCTTGTGGAAAGGTGATTCTATAAAGAAAAGGAAGGAGCAGCAATGGGCTCTCATTTGTCTCCCGTGATTGCGAATTTGTACATGGAAGATTTTGAAGCAAAAGCAATAGCTACAAGCACACTAAAACCCTCTGCTTGGTTTAGATACGTGGATGACACATTGGTGGTCTGGCCATACGGAAAAGATACACTTAACAAATTTATAAATCAATCTCAACTCGCAAAACCCGTCCATCCAGTTCACCATGGAAATGGAAGCTAACAGAACTCTCCCATTTATGGATATTCTTCTCGGGAGCGGTCAAAATGGTAAAATAACACACAGCGTGTGCCGAAATAAAAATCACACTGACGCTTATCAGAATGCAGAGTCACATCACCCCACACAGAAATCCTCTCTCATCAAGATGCTCATACATCGGGCTAAGAAAGTGTCAGATGGTCATAGTCTGAGAAGTGAAATTAACATGTTAAAGGAGCGCTGCAATTGTTACAATGATGCACACATCAACAGGGCACTGAATGCCAAAACCAAATCAAATAATACGAGTGTTGAAACTGCCCAAGTAATTAAAACTATTAAAATACCGTACATTGCAGGAGTAACTGATAAACTAGCTAGATTTTTGGAAAAACAAACATCTGAGTCAGATTTGGCACGGTACATAAAATACAGAAATTAATATCTGGTACTAAAGATGTATTACCGAAGCTATCAACAGAAGGTGTGTACCAAATTAATTGCTCTTGTGGCAAATGCTATGTTGGGCAGACAGGACGAATGATCAGCACGAGACTAAAAGAACACCAAAGGAACATTAAATACTCCCAAATACAACTGTCGGCAGTGGCAGAACACGCCTGCCAACAAAGACACTCAATTGATTTTGATGATGTTAAAGTTACGTGCAAAACTAGTTACAACTGGCCAAGACAAATTAGAGAATATAACCGAAATTGAGAGAAATCAAAATAATTTTAACTGTTCGGATAGCTACAGGCTTAGTGCTGCTTGGAAGAGAATCATCAAATAATAAATGCATGCCGATACAGGTCACCATACTTCAATAGGGATTACCGTTGTTACGGCTATTTTAGTACACACAATCGACAGGAAGTACAAGAACAATAGGCTTGATTAATGCGCATGCATGATGTTCGTTGATTAACATATAAATAACCCACACCGCAATGGATACCCAATGTCATTTATATGCATTCATTAATCCCCCCCGCATTTCGCGCAAGAGGAGCACACAAGCGTTGTCATCAAATCTACACGCTCTATTTAAGAAGCGAAACAGGAAGACTTCTCCACAAATCTGGCTGTCGCCCGCTGAAGCTAGTTGTAATTACTGGCGAAACGTCGTACTCAGATTGTTCTTGTGCTGTACTGCTAACGATTTGGCCTGTTCTATTTACGTGACAAACCTTACTAATTGGCTGTGTCGGGTGGTGGCGGGTTTAACGACACATTAATATTCATGCGCTCTCACCTATTGTTTAACCCCTATAGCACGTGCACAATGGTGTAACAGGCACAACACGGGATGGCTGCGCTTGTTAGGCAGTTGATATGCACAGCAAGGGGACAAACGATACCAAGTTCACGTTGCAGCGTGCCAACACAAAAGGAGCGTTGAGACTTGTTTTTCCGATTTAGTTTATTTTTAGTAACAGACAGAAACATCTCGCTGCAATCATCATCATCATTAACGCTGCCTCGTACGTTCCAAAGTACGAAGCCTATTAACACAAAAAAAATCTGTTATGAGGCCATGTTAATGACTACAATAGGAATGTGCTTTTGGTTTAAGAAAATGAACAGTTTGTTGACGTAAAAAGCCAAATTCATTAAACCTCCACACTTGAATATAAGCTGTGCTGTCGTGAACGAAAACTGAACAAAGCGTCTTTTTGAAATAAAGTATAGTAAAAGCAATCCCAGCTTCACAAGTATGCAGCAAAGCTTAACATTTTGGTTCAAGTTCAAGTTTGAGAGCTCCCTTCATGATTGCTGCTGTATAATTAAACACTTTATCACCGCAGCAGGAGATAATTCTGTAGTGTTTTTTGGTCATCATTTGAGTAATGGCTTTGTGCGGGAGCTGATTTTGTCGGTGACGGTTCATCATTGTTGCGTCTTTAATTAACCTTGCGCGATAACTGACAAACCAGTCACGACTTTCACACCAGAGGAGCAAGCCAGTCAGTAATGCAGATGCAAACAATCGCTATGTCGCAGCGTGACAGCAGGATGGATTAGTGCTGGGGGGGGGGGGGAGGAAATCCGAGAAGAATTAAATTCTACGCGATGCTATGTTTCAGCAAACGGGCCTCTTCCAGGTGCCGCTTGCATGGCG